TGAAAGATCAGAGAAGTAAAGGAGCCAGCCAGACACTAGAGAGACCTTTTATTTCTACCAAATCCTCAGACCAAAGTGGGCAACATCCTGTCTGCACAGTAACTCAGACTGCATGCTTGGACTGCCTCTTTCAGACTGCATCCTCAGACTGCATGCTGTCTCAATGATACCTCAGACTAAATGGGATGAGCTCCTGTCTCCTCTCCCCGTATATTTCTCTCTCAGCCCAGCCACGTCACTCCTGTGTCCACTACCCTAGTGTTGGGATCAAAGGTGTGAGCTCTGGTTTTCTTTTATCCTGTGTAGATCAGGGTGACCTTGAACTCATAGATATCAGTCTACTTCTATCTTCCAAGTGCTGGGATTAAAGGTGTGTGCCAACACTACCTGGCCTCTATGGCTAACTAGTGTGGCTATCCTCTCGACTCTGATCTTCAGGCAAGCTTTTTTTTTTGTTAGAGCACAAACAAAATGTCATAGCAGAAGGGTCATTTGAGGGACCTTCAAGAAGGCAAGCCACACAGATGAAACTGCAGGAAGAAGGGAGCAGGCACCACTTGGGAAGACCATTGCCTGGTTGAGAATAAATAACTATCAGAATTTAATGACATTATCCATTTCTAAGGCTCAAATATAGTTTATTCAAATACTGTCCAGTGAGAGGTATAGGACAGAAAATAGAACTTTTTGTTAAAAAGGAGAATAATGTTAATTTTATCTTATGTATTTCTCCAGAAAACTTAAGTGATCCAAGGAAGGAGCCTTCAGCTTTCCAAAATTACACTGGCTTAGTCTAATGAGCTATCTTTGCCTTCCTTAACATGTAGCTTCCATTTCTATTTCATACTTGTTGTTGTTTGCCAGGCAATGGATGAGAGATGCTTCTCTTATAAGGAACACACTTAGTGCTCACTCACAGTTTTTTGACAGCATCCAGCTGAAAGGGAGGCCAAAGGATATTTTTTTAAAAAAAGAAAGAAAAAGAAACTGAGTCACCAAATGTCTTGCTAAAACTTGGAGGCAGATATGCTCTCATAAAGTCGTAGTTAGTTCAAATGTGGTAGCTCACAACTGTAATCCCAGCTCTCAGAAGATAGGGTAGAGGATCAGGAGTTTGTGGTCAACCTGGTAAGTACAACAAGGCCCTGTCTCAAACAAAACAAAGAATTTAAAAAATGAAAAGGAAAGGAAGAAATGTGAGAAAGGAAGAGGAAGGGAGGAAAAGACAATGAAAACTGAACATGTTGGACTGTAAAATTTAATGGAGGATGACTACAGGTAAGTAAGACATTGCTTTATACATGAAGTCTTACAGTCTTGGATAAGAGATTAGCTTTGAATTAAGCAGAAGCTAATTCATGCAATGTTGTAGTTAAAGAACTTTCTAGCTGGGGAGAGAAGCCAGGGCAGAACAGAGAAGCAACACTGCATTTGTCTGGTCAAAGAAACGACCAACTCACAGGGGCCAAAACAAACAAGAATAGGCTAATGATGGGGAGCCAAGTGAAGAAAGTATTTCAAGAGAGAGAAGCAGTCAACTGTGTATGACATGCAAGGGTGAAGCCTCGGTCATTGGAACGGCAGAGTGAATATCATTGTTACCTCTGGCAAACAGCATGGCAGGGTGAAGCCTTGGTCACTGGAATGGCAGAGTGAATCTTATAGTTACCTCTGGCAAACAACATGGTAGGCATGAAAGGCAGTGGAGAAAATTCTAGAAGACACAAGAAAATGGGATTCGACGGAGCAAAAATTCCTTTGAAGAAAACAGAGTGGTTTGAACATGTCAATGTGGTAACCAGCAGAAATGGTGAGACTAAAGGCAACCAAGCATAGGAAAAAACCCAAGTAGACATTTTCAGGTCTCACAAGAGCAGAAGCGTGCACTTGCTCCATATGCCAGCTACAAGGGTGGCAGTGATTGAAGAAGGGGTACTGGGGCAGGAAGCAATGGGGGGCTTTAGGGATTCCTATCTAGTAGTTTTGATTCCATTTTTCTGACATAAGAAGTAAAGTCATTTATTGATGGAATTTGCCTCAACTAGGACAGGTGCCAATATAGCCATTTTTTATTTTTTTTTAAATTTATTTGTTTATTTATTTATTTATTTTTGTTTTTCGAAACAGGGTTTCTCTGTAGCTTTGGAGCCTGTCCTGGAACTAGCTCTTGTAGAGCTAATCTCCAGGCTGGTCTCAAACTCATAGAGATCCGCCTGCCTCTGCCTTCCAAGTGCTGGGATTAAAGGCGTGTGCCACCACCGCCCAGCTAAAGCCATTTTTTAAAAATGTAAGGTTGGTCTTACTTACTTACTTATATATCCTAGGCCAAAACCAACTAGAAGAGGGATAGGATCAAGCTAAAGAGGTGGATCTTTTGATTTATTATTCCCTTGATTATATTTCATGTTCTTTACATAGCAGGAGTCAAAAATGTAATATATTCTTCAAACTGATCCTCTTATCAAAATGGCCCGTTGCTACCACCACGCCCACAGCCAAGCGCAAGGACACAAGCACAGGCTGTCAGTCAACTGAAGGGAATCTCAATGTCACTCAGGAGCCACACCCTAGAGTCTTCACCATTCACTTGGTTAGTCTCACCTTCTGAATTACCTCACAAGCAGCCTGCTTGTCTCAGCACTAGTAATTTGAATCTTCATTATCTTTTACTTGGCTTTTCTACCTTTCCAGCTCTTTGTGGTACAACTGATTATATCACTACTTTAGTTAAGATCGTCAGGGACTCCACAGCTGCCTTTCTGAAAAAGCCTGTGCAGAGGCAGTAAACTGATTCAGTGCATTTCTAATAGGGCTTCTCAAGCTCTCTCCACCTCCTTGGTTTATTCATATATTAGTTTCCCCTTAATTAATATATATGTGTATAAAGTCCGTCAGTAGACACTTCAGACTGTGGCTTGTATCAAACTTAAATATATTATATTTTCCTATGCAAATATAGCTATATAAAATCTAATTTATAAATTATGCACAGTAACAACAACAATATAATAGTTAGAACAAAAACAGCTGTTCCTTTGTACTCTTCAGTGATAGCAAGATCTACACGTGCTCAAATGTTTTATCTTGGTGTGATATTTGCAAATAACCTATATACATTCTCTGGACCTTAAATTACCTCCAAACTACTTGTAGTAGTGTACACAATGTAAATGTTATATGAAGAAATAGTATACTACATTATTTAGTAAATCATGACAAGGAAAATTGTACAAGTTTAACACAGACATACACATATACACATATGGAGAGGCAGACAGACAGATGAGACAAAGAGATACAAAGATAGACACAGAGACAGACAGGGTTATTTTCACACAGCCAATCTAGCTCACGCTCACTATATAACAGAGTCTGGCTCTGAACTACTGATGCTTCTGCTTCAGCCTCTGGGGTGTTGATATTGTAGATGTGCCCCACCATGCCCAATTTTCAGAACGTAGTTTGATCTGTGGTGGGTGAACCTGCAGGGGCAGAGCTGGAGGGTATGGCGGGCCAACAGGACTATAATATGTAGAGTCCTCTGCCTCTCTTGCTCTCTGTACCGTAATCACCCTTCTTGCGGTGATTTGTCAATATAACGCCTACGTGATGAGATGAAATGAAGTGATTGGTGCAGGCGTTGTGATGTAGTACTAGGCTACCAGGTAGGGGTTACTTGAACGGAAGCCCTGACAGATTTGATAACCCGGAGATTAGGAGGTACGCTGGAACAAAGGGTGGTTGGGTGATGGTCAGCGCTGGACTAAGGACCCAGAAAGATTTCATCACACCCAGAAATCAAAATTTATAAATTCTTTATTTCTGGACTCGTCCATTAAATGTTTTCAGACTTTGGCTGACAAGTGGAAACCCAGACTTCATAAAGCAAACCCACAGGTAAGCGCGGAACTCTTGCTTCCCGGGGGCTATCCTGTTTCCTAACCCAGCATTTGCTCTTTTTTAGTACTAGGTTTTTCTTCTTGAACTCTTCCTGTCTTTTACCTTTTCATGTAATCCATGTTTGTCTTTGTTAGTCTAGTGGTCCTCAAAGAAGCTCTACTGACACTCCCGACCCACCCTGAGGTGGGTGTTCTCCCGACTAGTATTCAACTAGCTTAAAAGACCCATCACTCTTCCGTCCTATTTCCTACACGGACCATGTCTTTTTACTCATTCCTGTATCCCAACTTTTCAACACAGTATGAGTCAGTCCTTGGTGGTCCTGATAACCAAAGGGAATAATTATGAGACCCAAATCCTTAGCTTTGTACTACATCGCCCGTCATTACTTTTCAGTGTTAATTAAAATGGACCACATATGTCAAAGCGTGTGCACTGGTTGGATCCTGCTATTTGGCTCCTGAGAATAAATGCAAACCCCGGGCTAGCTTTCACGGCTTCCGGCAGGGCCTACGCTGGGCGGAGCCGCGAGGGAGGAAGGCGGGAACTCTAGGTTGTGGCCCCGCCCAAGGGGCGCCACTCGAGGGCGGGGTCTTCTCTGGGCGGAGCGCTTGGAATGGGGGCGTGGTCTCCCCTGGGCGGAGCGCTTGAGAGGGGACGAGGTCTCCGAGCGGTGGCCCCGCC